GGACCAAGGCCTGGCTGGGCCTTGAGCTGGCATCCTCATGATGTCTCTGAGCCTCAGCTTCCCTCCTGAAAAATGGCGAGCATCGCGCTCCCTGCCCCCCAGCGCCACAGGGTCATGGGGGCAGCAAGAGGCAAGATGGATTCCTGCAGAAAGGAAAGGGGCCTTGGGCTCAGAACTGGGAGTCTCAGCTCTGGCCGCTCCTTAGAATCAACCGCAGAGCTTTCAACACAGGCAGCCCTCAAATACACCCACCCACCGGGTCAGTGCTGACCCCCCCACTCAGACCACATCTCTCTGGGGCCGGAGCCAGCCCTGGGGTGTTTTAAGGTCACCTGGGTCTCCGTGCTGCACAGCACCTGGGGCCAAACAGGCGGCAGGAGCTCCGTCGCTGTCCCCGTGTGCTGACCAGCTGTGCTTTCGCCTCTCCACACACTTGGGGTCTGCTCTGCTCTCAAAAGCCCCCACAGCAGCCACAAAGGAGGGGCCTGGTTGGGCCAATGTCAGCAGGGCCTCCTTAGCCCACCCTGACAATGGTACCCCCATTTCTCTGGCAGCAAACGAGGGGGAACTGACCCAGTTCAGTCTCTTGGGGTGCAACGCCTAGGCCGCTCTCCCCTCCGCACCTGCACGTGGCCTCTGAAGAAGAGGGGGCTGCGGGACATGTCTGCCTCTCCCCTCTGCAAACCCGGCTCTGCGGCCCCATCTCCTCTGCTTCCAGGCTCCTTGGCCAGTTTGGGAACAGCCCCTTCATTCAGGGTACCCCTGCCCTCAGGGGTACCCCAGGAACCTTGTCCCAGCTCCCACCACAAGCTGGGACAGGAAGCCCAAAGTAACTCCCACGGGGGAGGCCTGCACCCCAATTCGGCTTCTTGGGGTCCTAGCCTCCACCTTCTGATTGGGTTTCTGGAGTGGCTGGGGTGCCCTGCACACAACCTGCCTTCTTTTGTTTCTCTTTAGCCCCTGCAATGCCCGCTGCCCGGTGCTGCCCCTCTGACCTGCAGGAGAAGGTCTCCAGGCCCCAGGGCAGCAGATACACTCCTGCTGGGTAGGACCCCTGCCTTCCCCCACTGCCCACACCCACTGGCCTGAAAAAGAGGAATGGGGAGCCCCGACAACTTGTGAATGAAGCTTCTCACCTACTTGCCAGGGGCCCACCCCGTTCCCAGGCTGGTGGGGAGGGGAGGCCCATCCCCCTCATCCCTTGCTTCTCCTCAGCCCCAGCTGTCCATGGGGTACTCCCGGCTGTGGGTGGTGCAGGCTTTGGGAGCTGGGAGGCTGAGGCCTGTGCTTCCCTCAGGTCTGTGCACCCGGCTGCACCATCTGTAACATGGGCTTATGAATGTGCCTGGCTCCTGGGCGGCCTGACGGGTGGACATCGAATGGGCCACTCTCTTCTCTGCTGGTAGAGGATAGAGGCCCCAGGTGGAGATGCTGTCAGCACAGCTGGGGCAGACCAGGGGAGAACCCCCATCCAGGGATCCCCTCCCCTCCCAGGCCGCCCCTCCCAGGCTACCCCTTCGAAAAATGTTGAGGACTGGCCCCCGAGCTAGGGCTACATGGGCCATTACTTCTGGCCTGGGGCTCACAGGCAGAGATGCCAACGGAGGCACACAGGCAGTTGCACCCGATCAGCACTAGGCCTGAGGCCTTCAGGCCTCCCTGTGCCCCACCCCACCCCCACCCACCGGGAGCAGAGGACGTCGTGGTGGGCAGTGTCCTCAGCCTGGGAGCCGCACAGCCCCGCGCGCTTCCTTCTATGGAAAATCTGCTCCTCCAGGCTGCCGGGCTGCTGTTACGTAAACATCTCTGCTGCCTCCAGGCGCCTCCTCTCCTGGGGCGCTGACCCCGAGATGTTACCCCAGGCCTGGAAAAGTGAGGCCAGCTTCTGGGAGGACGCAGGCGAGGGAGGCTCCCAGCAGCAGCTAGGAGGGGGGGGATAGGCCGTCTGCACTGGCTGTTTCCAGAGTGCTCAGCACTTGGCAAGAGGTGTGCCAGGAAAGGCTCGCTGGAGTCAGGTGTGAGATTTGTCCCGCTTTCTGTGCCTCCCTCTGCCACCATGCTCTGGGGTTTCTGCAGCCACTCCCCCACGCTCCCAGAGTCCTAGGTCCCTCTCAGTCTTTCAGTCTCCCTGCAGGGCAGGCATAGCCCTCCTACTCCAGGAGGGCCCCCAGCGCCTTCTGCCATCGCACTCACCACCCTGTGTTGGAGTGGGGAGGGGGCGCTGTTTGTCCCCAGCACGAGGCCGTGAACTTTGCGCAGGGACTATGGCAGGCATTTTGGACTCCTGGCGCTTAACCAGGCTTGGCACAGGGTGCCCGTGCCTGGCATCGTGGTGGAGAAATAAATCAGCCGGAAGGGGCACGTGGGAGGGGCTGCGCCGGCGCCAGCGGCAGATCCGCCCGACCCGTTTGTGCTTTCCGGGGCCACCTTAGGCAGGCGGCGCCCGGGCAGGAGGAGGACGGTGACCGAGAAGCATGTCGACGCGGGTCCCCCCTGGGGCAGCGGGGCGCAATACGTCCGCGAGGCACTGGTCCTGGCTGCTCCCTTGGGGCGCCCTAAACTCCCTGCCCTGAGGCCGCTGCGCCCCCATCCCTCGCGGTCAAGTGCTCAGGCAATCACGGCCAGGGGTGTCTGGCGGCGATCGATCCTCTGGACGCCTAAAGCCGCGGCCACGGGGCCCTGGGGAGGGAGAGAAGCCGCTGGGCTACGGGCGCACCCACGGCTAGGCCACTTCTCCCAAAGCCCTGCCCCGGGCCCGGGG